AAAAAAAAAAAAAAATTGACACGCAGCTTTTTTGTACAACTATGACATCGATATTTTGGATGTTTGGATTATTTAGAAAGATATAAAAAACTTGTTACATTTTTTTTTAAAAATCAGTACAATAATCTGAACTTGCCTGATTTGAAATGTTGGGAATTAATGAAAAATTCGCAAGATTAAATCATTGTTAGAAAATGAAAAGAAACGAAGTACAGAAGACATAAATGAGAAATCTAAATCTAATCCATAACCTTTGTTATTAATATTTTTTGGTATAAAATATCCAAGAATTTAATAGTAACACTAATTCGCAAAACAGATATATATTTCTTCAATAGATGCTTCGAATCATTGATTTCCCTTTATTATTATAAAGAATGTATCCGCGTGATTTTAAAAGTAAGCAATGATAAAGTACCAGAAGATTTTTAAAAAATAAATTCAGCAAAGTTTGGAAGCTACCACGCTGCAAAGATCAGACGAGTCCAAATTTGTATAAATGTATCAGACTTGTTTGATTCCATCTTTACACGTATATAAAAATATATACAAACTCCAACAAGTACAGTTTTACTAAACTGCTACTACTCGAGAAAGAGGAAAAAGAGGAGAGAGAGTGATTGCTTACATCTCTTTTCGCAATCCTTCTCTTTTTCAACTATAATATTTTTCCCTGAAGGAAAGTAAAAAGTACTCCTTAATCTTCGTGAAAGAAAGTGAACTATTAATTCTGGTGTTTGAACATTCATTCAAGATAAGTTATCGACGATCAGCTCGTCCAGATTGATAAAGAGGCATCCAATTAATCGGGAATAATCGAAGAATCGGTCAGAGGAGTCGATCGATCGAATCCGCTCGGAAAACCCTCTTCGTTTGTACTTGCGCCTCCGGTGAATCTCATTAGACCAGAAGGGATATCGATACTCGCATGTACACTCTACACAGTCGCGTGTGTGCCATAACTGGCCACGTACGGATATTTATATCCAATAACAGCCATGTGTGCACACATGCACGTTGCACTGGTGGCGATAGAATGAACCAGTTATTACGAGCACGAGATCGGGCCATGTTTGTTGAAAAATTAAACACGACATGTTGAAATAATTAGAAAAAAAAAAAAACTGAAACAAATCCAGACCGAGTTATCCAGTTGTTGAATTTGCGAGAAACATGAAATTGTCTGTCACTAGAATTTAATAATCAAATTTATAGATACTGATAATACAAGATTTATATTCTCTTAGAGATCTCCAATGATTCACAGAAAATGCAGATACTCGTCCCGATTCGAGTTTCGAACAATTCGAAAAAGAAAATTAAATCGAGTCAAAGAATTAGAAATTATATTTTTCTAAGGTCTCTGGTAATCAGCCTGGACTTTGTTTCCAAAGTTGTTTCATCGAAAACTGCTGCCAATCAGGAACATTATATACCCCCCTAGAAGATATAAAAATCGTTACTAAAAATTATTGAAATTTAACGGCTTGGCCAACTGTGTGCACGCGTTGAGAATTTCGAGCGAACTTTGACAGATAATTCGTCGGATAATCTAGCCAAGCAGGACGCTTATGTTCACAAGGTGGAAAGGCTCGCGAAGATGGATACGAAGTTCACGGAGGATTTTATTAGCTCGCTTAGCAAGGTCAGAAAACGCGGGAGTCGATTCGTTGGTTCCAGATTCGATCGCGTAAGAAACGAGTGTAAGAAACTAACAGTGATTGCTACTATGTAGCAGCACAGTATTCGCCTGAAATAGAGCGGCCGAGTATTCTATTTGCCATTAGTAGCACAGGAAACGTGAACGTTGAATAGCTTGTTAAACATCCCCCTTTAAATAGAATCTCTTTGAGCCTACGACGCACTATTCGGATGTTCCATTTGCGGTGGACCATCCGGTATAATGCCGAATGCATTGATCAGCGTGTTTCGACGTTTATGGTGCCATCGATTCATTTGCTTAACAGGGGAATTAGCTTGCGGGTTCAAATACCTGTTATCATAAACTGTCGCACGGTGAAAGCTTGCGTACGTGTCTGTCAAATTTCTGAACAAAATTTGAAAGAAAATTTGAAAGACGTTATTGCGAGAGGAAAAGATGAATTACGATTATTTGTTGCAAGTAAAAATTAATCAGTATCGTTCATATAAATAGTTCATTTGATATTCTTGCAGCGAAGGAATAATTGTAGAAAATTGTCAAAGTATGAACATACGTATGTAACGTTCAAGAGGATCAAAGTTAAAAGATTCATTGATTTTTTCTGCTTTCAGTATTTGGAATTTAACAAATGTACATTTACGTTTGTTTAAATACTTGTATCAGATATCTTGTTCCATCCAACTTGACCCATTTAAATGATATTACAGTACTAATGAAGTTTCAAAATGTTTTCTGTAACACGTTCATTGTACATTTCAACATCTATTATCATTTTCGAAATCCTTCTCGAACCGATCGTAATTCTGAGTCACGCTGAATCGTAATTAATCGTGATTAATACATCACGAGTCTTCTTGTTTTTCTTTTTTTTTTTTTTCAAATTAATAAAAGCGAGACACCAAAATCTCCGTAAACCATAGCAATATGTAATCGCAGAACGCGATGCACGAAATGCATTTCGTATCCTACCGTTCGCTTCTCCGACTGGTTATAAATTTCCATAAAGCTCTCGACGTTGCAAAAACTTTCACCGAAAAGAAACAAAAGAAAGAAAAAAAAAGACAGTCGCGTCCTCGTGGCTCCAATTGCTGCCCGCTACCAACCACACCACGGCGCGGTATTACGTTCGTTACGTAATTACAAGCTACGAGTAACGAAAGCGAGCGGCGGAGATTAAAAAGAAAAAAAAAAATCCAGCGATGTCCATCAAATACCAAAAAAAAAAAAAAAAAAAAAAAAATAAAATAAATAGAAAACAGGAGATAGAATTTCCAGTGGTATAGCGCTACAAAAACGCGGGCGTCGTGGCTCTATACTCACTATAGTCGTATCTCGTGCCGGGACACGAGGTTCGCACAGGTCTCTCTCGGCGTTTCGCACACACGAAACGCCTTGACCGTCCCTGCACCGACGTGCACAACCGCTTGCACAAACACGCGCGAGAGTCGCGCACAATGTTGGACAACATTGGTTAGGTAGGTCCAGTAGAGCGTGAGCACGTCTACCACGATGAAAGAGAGTAGGGCTTAATCAGTTAGTCGATAGGCAAATTGGCTTAGAGGCAGCGACCGACAGGGTGGTTTACAGAACCAGCAAGCCCCGCCAGTGGCCAGTGGCCGAGTGGCGAATCAACCCTTCGCCGATAAGAGTCGCGCCCCGTGTGTCCCCGATCCTTGCTGGGGTTTCCCCGACGCGATCGCGCCCCGAGAATTCCCACAGAATTGTGAATTTTGCAGAGGCAAGGCTGTGCAAGACTGTGGACACATCTTCCTCGTTCTGTTCTCTGAGCTTCTCTCGCGCACACCATTATACATCCACGTATATGCGAGCCACGTTTCACCGTTTGTCAAAGAGAAACGCGTAACAGACAGGGGCTAGAGTATACGCACGCGCGTATCCTAGATTTTTGGAACAGCGTCGTCGATCGAGACTGCCCGATGATCGTTCACGGATCGAACTGGTTGTCGCAGATCGAAGTCACGTGTCTAGCCGATCGACTTTGATGGATATTGGAGGGAACTTCCGGCGGATGTGGCTGCTGGGTTGATAAGCCGGCCGTGCGCTATCGCGATAAGGAATTCTGGAGCGGTCAGGAGGTGATTCGTAGTGCGCCAGCTGCTCGATTGGTCAAAGAGGATCGGCACGGTAGAATGTGCAGCTGATCGGTAAGTCTCTCCCGTATATCACATATCGTTCTATCGTTTCGTTGACATCGTAGCTTTCGAAACTTGCCGGCTCGTTATTCTCTCTCTCGTCTCCAATCGTCTCCCTGTTCGAGCGTGAATCGCGATCGAACTTCTACGAATGGCAGAGGTAATATTCAAATACCTGGGCTGGATCGATGGTGAAACGTATGGCCAAGGGAAATTTCCTCGTGGACTCGAACTCGTGACTCGCCAAACGAGATTTCGTCTCGACGTTTCGGCCGATTCGACGAATTCTCGCCTCTGATTTCTCGTTTCATATTGACGTTCGAGATATTGCCTGGCGATCGAAACGGAACGGGGGATTTCGCTAGGTGGATTTTAAAAGAATCGGAAAAAAAACCTGCTGGTGGATTAGCGCGAAAGAAGAACAGCGAAGTTTGAACAACGTTGGGAAGCGAACCTCGACCTAAATTTCCCCGTTTCGCAGCACGCCGATAGAACGCCGTGGCGCGAGGGTTTCTTCCCCGAATTATGGGAGTTCCCTTTCTTTCTCGATTGTTTACACGCGATGAAGATTCCATCACGCGTAACAAGATTATTAGTGATCACATAGATTTTTCATTGCAAACAATAGTAACAACGATGGATACAGTATTAAATATAACATTTTGTAAATTATTACTTGTCGTTTTATAAATTCCACTTTGTCGATTTATATTACCAAATTCGATTTTTTAACGTCGAAACTATGAAATGAAATTCCACAGGTTCGATTGATATTCGTTACTAATAATTTTACGAAATTTCAAAAAATTGACATACTTATAATATTACTAGATTTTCATACAAATTAATGAATAAAAGTATAAAAATCTGCAATTTAATTGTAATTAAATACTACTTGATCCTTTGACGAACTAAATATTAGTAGACTAATGGGACACACGTGACACAGTCTATTATATTTCGTCGTACAGGCCCACGAGCCTATAAAAATTCGTGAAACGCGAAAATTCTCCACTCGATCGTGTTCGTTCCGCTTGGTTGAGTATTATTTTTTTTTTCTTTTTTTCACTGAAAATTACATCCTCTCGACGTTATCCACGATCGTTACGATCTCACTGCAATTTTTCCCAGCTTCACTGGCATCGATAATTTGTTTCAGGAATGACGAGGCACTCTCTGGTGATCCTATGCTGCTACCTGTACACGCTCTTTGACATGGTGGCCCTGCATTTTCCGTGAGTAGGCGAACACGAGTAGCTCGGAAACTATAGAAGCCGCGACCGGTTGAGTAGAACACGCTAGATCGAAGGCGCAGAGATTTCTCGTGTAATTTCTCGTCCGATCGGTTCGACCAATGCGACGGAAATCTCTCGAGCCTTCGAGTCTCGTCCCTAGTTTATCTTTCTCTTTCACGCATGCACTCCCCTTCGATCGCTGAGTAATCGCGATCCCGAGGACGAGTATCGTGGCCTACTTGCAAAAAGAACGAACGTACCGTCATTAACGAGACTAAAAAAGTGTCAAACACTTTTTTTTTATTTGGCGGTCTGTTTTGATTTTGTTTGACGATTATATACTGACATCTAAAAGAGTGTTAGTATTATCGAAGTCCTTTAGTATCTTGCCTCGTTAATAGCAAGTCAATTTGGGAAAAGACAACTATTAACTTTTTAATCTTCGTGGTATTACGTTTGCGAAGATAACAAATTTGACACATTTCATTCATGGAAGTTTTCTTCTTCGAAAAGTAGTATACATATTAATTTACAGAGAAAGGTGTAGCTATAATAAAAGTAGATTAATGAAATAAAAATAAACATATGTTTCTGTTGTTTAGAAAACAATTTTCTTAAAATTCAACGAATCCTTAAAGGGCTAATTTCCGACAGTGTCGAATACATAGATCATTTTACAGATTTAACGTACCAATATGGATGAATGCAACTGATGCAAGCCCGAGATAATTTTCAGTTATATAATTGAAGGCACACAATAATTTCCCAATCATATCAAACTTTTAGTGTGTTTCTTCTGTCTGCATGAACATATTTTAAAATAAATACAGAAATGAAAGAAACCTTTCGAAACGACTTTTTCAATCTTCTCGAAATTAACAAGGCAAGAAGTTAATATAAATTCTTTCTTTCTTTCTTTCTTTCTCTTGCATTGTAATTGAAATAAGGTTCGCGCCCCTTTCGAGTGTCAACTCGCGTTAACTAAAATTTTGTGCAAACATACTATCCGTACGAATTTTAACAAATGGCGAGCGAGGAGGCACGAGAGAGATGGATCGAAAGGTTCGTCGGTAAATTCGTTCTCGTTGCGAGACACGGCGATGATAGAATCTGGCCCAGCATCACCCGCGACTGTGTCGAGTTTCAGCGAGGAAATATGCGAACCGGTACTTTCCACGGAGGTCGAAGGCTGGCATATTAAAGTCGATAGCCTATCGTCCAGTACGTTTCGACTTTCGGCGAGAAAGCGCGGGTACCGGTTTTTTCCGAAGATCGAAAGGTAACGCACCAAGCATGATCGACATCATCAAAGCAATTCCCTCCATCCCTTTCTCTTTCTCTATTTCTTTATGCAGAATTCGATTTGACACGGTCGGTCACGAAAGTTCGCGTACATCTGTCGAAAATTTTGAATGCTTAAAGGAAAATAGGGATCTTAAGTGTCCATTTGTTAAAATTGCATTGTGAAAAATATGAGCGGAAAACATGAATGAAAAATATTTCTGCAATTGAAAGGTACAATAGTGAGATATTTTCGTTATTAAAACTGCTACCTTCTTATTCTGCCATGTATTTATAAAATTAAGGGATGAGAATTAGACGTTGACAGAATTGATGAAAATCTCATTTTTCAACATGTTCGTGGCATAACTTTCTCTTGCAAGGAGTTAATTATCATGAACATATCATAATGTGAAGCGTATGATAATTGTACATCTATATATATGTAGATTACCGAAAGATTGGAAACATAAGAAACCTTGTCAATATTTTATCTAAAAGATTAGTTAAGATTCATAAAACTCTAAAAATCCTTTTACATATTGATATTGTATCTCTATATTGATCAGTCCAAAACTCACTTTGCTACAATTTTTATTATCATTACTTTATTGTACATTTCTAATTGCCGGATGATATATCAAGAAACAATAAAGTAGCAGCAAAATTTATAACACGTATAAATCGTTCGTCGTTATAAATTACTTTAGTCATTGTTCGAGCGTCCGATTTCCAAGAATTAAATACTCGAAGTTTGACAGATGTGTGCGGACTTTCATGACTGGCTCATCATCAGATCCATTTCTTTTCGATTTGCGTTTGCGTTTGCAATGTTAATAAAAATTCGCGAAAGTACACTTTTATTACGCGGAACGTTTTATCGAGTTTCTGCGATTTTCGCGAATGTTCGTTCGACGAGGAGGAAAATCTTGGAAATGATTCGACAGGTGTTGTCAGTGAAACAGGAGGACCTCTTTCGTCGATTGGGAAAAAAATTATAAGAAAATTCCTAAAAATCTTATCGTAGATTATCAGCTTGGCAAGTTTCACTGGAATCGTGCACTCTGATAAATGGACGACGATCGCACTTTCCAACTCGATAATTGTCTACGATATATTATACGATAAATTATCATCGTCGGGTCACATTTTAAAGCGTGAAGCCTTTACTTCGACAGTCCTGAGTTTGTTCCTTCGAAGATATTCGTACATCATGCAACGAGTGGATGCTTTCACTCTCGAAAATTGTCAAAATTCAAACTCTAAAAATATTGAAAAACTGACTGGTACGTGAGGATCGATCCTTGAAACTTGCTGCACGATTTTTATTGAATTTCAACCCTTGTCCAATTTAATCCATCTCTTGATGTCAAAATGAAACAATACTAAAAAAAAAAAAGATGAATACCTACGATGAAAAGATGAATAATTAAACTCACGAATTATTTTGTTCCTGTTTCAATTTCATGTGACCTATTCTCAAATATGAATATTCCA